GGTTGCTTCTCTGTCCAAACTACTGATATTTAGGTAGAAAACTGCCCAGCGACAAACGTTGTTGGTAAGATAAACAACAGTATGTTTATCTAATGTATCTGCATGAAATCATGCAGATACATTAGGGGACAGTTTCACATGTGGTGAAATCATATTACATTCTTTTAAATTAAAAAATACATCTACTATTTAAAGCATCTGACCCTTTTATAAACGAGGGCTACGTTCACACTGCAGGCCTTGATGCTCAATTTCGATTTTTTTTTTGTGAAATCTGATTTTCTTTGTGTTGCCGTTCAGACTTCCAAATATATGCGACTTGTATGTGAACCTGTGTGAACTGCATTCATACATTGCAAATGTCCCGCATGCACAGTAGAGGACGCAATGACATCACAGGCAAGCGATGTAAACATGGATGGTAGGGCTGGGAACTTTCTAAACATTAAAAACTCAATCTTTTCAAGATAGTTTAAAAAAAAAAAAAAAAAAGACTGCTTTCCACATTATGGTCCTCACCAGGAGTGATAACCTTTTGGACAAATCAGAAGAGCTAAAAAAAAAAAAAAAGAAAGGTATCTTCTACTTTTAGTTGGTTTTTATTGGTTCAACCTGTATGAAACGAAACCTGCGGGTGGTTTTTTACCAGACTTATCCCAACAATAACACTGGCTATTTTAGGCTTCTTCAGTTCTGACCATTGGTTGAGAGAATCATGAGGTTTTCTTCCACATCGGAGGCGTATTAAAGACGTGAGGCTGTAAATAGTTCTGAATCAGTCTCAAAAAATGAGTCATAACTGCATTATAGATGTAAAAGATGGCTGCATTCACTCCCCCTTTTCCCTGACGAAAGCAATTGGCTGAGAAATTTATAATATCGGCCAATACAAAGTTTGGGTCTGCCATTATTGGATGTGAATCAGTCTCTCTTTAAAAAGCAGCAGAACGTAATGCTGGAGGACATCCTGCAGAGGTTCTTAGATACCGCAGCCAAAGACGGAACCCCAACCATCTTTAGCTGATTCCTCTTTTACCTCTTCCTTCCTTTTGTGCATTTCTGAAATAAGTCCATTTAAGGTGTCCACCAGTTCAGAGGGCTTTTCTGGGTCCTTCCTCTCTGTCTGCAAGAAACCTGATCAACTCAGAACTGTAGGCTGCTTTCAACTGACGGTTTATATTCCAATGGGTAGAGTGGGTAAAAATGTTTGAATCTGTTTGAATAACATCAAAACGTGATTATCTTGATGTTAAAACAGAAAAAAATAGGGAGAATAAGGAGAGTTTATGGTGAACTGGTAAACAGTGCAACACTGAAATGGTCCATTGTGACACTCAAACATGAGAGGCCAGATTCTAATACGAAGCTCTGATGAAGAGGTTTACTACATTTAAAATATGAGGTGGAGAGAAAAGTCCATTAGGGTGCAGATCTGCTCTAGAGTGATAAATGGAGTTATAGCTGAAAAATGTATAATCCTTTAGCTCCCAAATTCATATCAGAACTGAAGGATTGGGGTGAGAAAGAAAGGCAAGAAGTCCAGTTGTATTTAACTTAACTTGAGCATACAGGATTAGAACCTCCAGTTTTCATCAAAGGTTCTACATCAAACCCTTATTTCTAACAATGGAATAAAAAGCATCCATAATGACAAGATCTGCACCTAAATATTCTTGACTGAAACCAAAAACAATAAATGAGGAACACAAGGTTCAAAAACAACAGAAACTATTTGGGGGTGTCCTAGTATTGCAGCTTTGAGAACAGACCGATACAGATACTGACCTGATATGACATCACTACGATCCATACAGGCTTTTATTACTTATTTTGTATTGCATAATTTCAGAAAAGGCTTTATCAAGTGGTATTGCTAAAACAGAGAACAATAGTGTCCGAGAATATTGTGTAATATTGACCAATAGGTTTCAGAAGCTATAAATAGAAAGAGTTATTATATCAGCTTTATATCTGAGATTTCAAATGCAGGCAGATAAAATTCAATACTAGTTTTTCGTCTGATATCAGATTAATATTAATATCGGATCGGTGCCCTCGCAGAAGTGACAATGTCAAATATTAGAATGTTGGGATTATTTTTATGATTCATGTATGTGCTTCCTAAAGCTTACTAATACCTGCCTGTTACATCTTTAGACTCATGTTTTCTCAAGCCGTTTATCTAATTAGGACACGATTTGGAAATGAAATGGGAATATACAGACCGGGTGGATGATACTTGATATGATATCACTGTGCATTCAGAGTGGCACTGATCTAGAACACTCTGTTATTTTAATATGGCCAGGGCCAGCGATGTCTCCTTATTTTACAAACGTGTGGCTCTGTGTAGAAAATGCTACTTTAACTACTATTCTGGGCTGATTTTCTGAAGAAGCTAGCCTGGTGGTAATCTGTAACTTGAGCCTTTTCTCTGGTCAGAGGAGGGTTACAATTTCTGTAAAATCTGCTGTCTCATGGTTACTTAAAGCCGAGCATACACTGTACGATTTTTTTCAATCGTTGCACGCAGCTACAGCTCACACCGTACAACGAAACAGCAGGGTTTAAAAGTTCACAGGTCACGATGTATGTTCTCACGCTGCAGCACGACGCTCTGATGCGATCCACCTGCTCCCACTAAAAACCACGAAAACTCAGCTCCACAGTGAGATGGAGCTACTTGTACTCGTCTATCCAGAAGCCAAATGAGCAGAAGAGGAATATGAAGCTCACTAGAGTGAACAGCGCTGCCTTGGCAATTTGTGAAATTTTGTGCTGAAAGCCCTAAAAACGAAGGGCGACGTATTTGGACAAAGACGTGGCTGAGCAAACGTGGCTACTACGGTCTGTCAGTTTTACAGAAAGAACTCCATTTCACTCGCATCTCCGCCATGCTTCTGTGTTTTTGTCTGAGAGGAAGAAGAAGAAAAATCCTGTTTGCCCACAGAGTGATTTGCCCACGACGGCTGATATTTGATTTTCTCCCGACCTTATGATTCCTGATCGGCAGGTGGTCTCGAGAGGCCGATCGCCCCTCGTTATCCCCTGTACACTACACGACTACAATGCACGATCAGACGGAAAGTAAGCCTGATTGAAAATACTTGCACAACTGGAAAATTGTGCTGCAAAGGGAAAACAATCGTACAGTGTATGCCCAGCTTTATACATATACATTATGAAGTGTTATTTAAAGTGTTTGTTTCGAGTGATCTCTTCTCAGGAAATAAAGATTAAAGGTGTAAACGCAGAGCTTTCCACCTAAACTGACCTCTAAATTACAAAAGTACAAAAAAATATTTCTTTACCACTGACATGTTTGTGTTTTGCCCTTTGCCTTGAGCGAATCACTTGGAAACTTGCTTGCCTTTTCAAACACCTCTGCCACAGACAGAGTGAGCACGATGGGTGTCAGTTTTCTTTTATGACATATTCTTCTAATGGTCAGAATGCTGATGGGGACGTTTGGATTTCAGGTTGGAAATTAAATTTGATTCTGTTTTTCAAATTGACATCTGAGGGGGAAATAAGTCCTAATCGGAGACATCCTGGCTCTTGCCCCGTTTCCGTATGCCAGTTGCGCCATTTGTCGCAACATCACAAATTTCGACTGTGTCGCATCGGCGTTAAATGTATTTCGACACAATTTATTTCCTCTGTAAAAAAAAAAAAAAAAAAAGGCTAAGTCAATTAAAAATTAGTGTGTAAATGTTTCTGTCGAAACTTTCTGCAGATGCTGCAAAGCAACCAATCAGGAAACTTCTAGATGATAAAGCTCTGCTGCAGGAAAGGTCTGGTACAAAAACATCCTCTGGAAAGATTATGACCGAGTTTAGAGGCTAGGCTAGCTAACATTTGGAAAAAATATATAATCTTTATTCCATCCTGATCTAAAGAAACAATTTTCCCAGAATTTGTTGCTAATTTTGAAGGATTTTCTTAAATAGAAGAGCACATATATAATCAAAATTTTGTGCACTACTGAATTACATTTATTGTTTTGTTATTAATTAAACTGTCTTTGAGAAAATAGGAAGGCGGTTTGGGTAAGGTTTTGGTTGTACGTTTTTTTCTGACAGGACGAAGAACTGAGAAGAGGTGAGGAGTCAAGGTGAGACTGTGGTTAAGATGCCACTCAGCCAACAACTGCGTGCCCAAACGGACAAACAGAGAATTCAGGACGTTACCCATGAATCTCCGCCCCACAACTCCCACGTGGGCACGCTGAAGTTGCGAGCTCCGCCTAATTTGTCCTGGAAAGTGTACAAGCGCTGCCTCGGTAGAAGGATTCAAAGGAAAATGTCGTATGAGTGAAGATGTCATGATGAACAAAATATACATCAAGCATGCATGGGAAATATGTCTCAGTTTACGTCCGATTCTGAGCAGATTCTGACCTTTAAGGAAGTGAAACAGCCTCTCCCTCCCCCACCCCTCTCTGCCCCCCAGAGAGGCTGAACCCCAGCCGCTCAAATATTGACACACATGAGAGATGTGCTGTGCTCCAGTGAGCAGCCTAACACGGGTGGTGACGGTACCTTGCTGGTGGAGGCTTTGTAGGTCGTCTTCAGCTTCTGTGACAGCTGACTGGTGCTGTGGCTGGCTGTGAGACACAGACAGAAAACAATGAATAAAAACGCCCCGCTGCTGAGCGACGAGCTGTTTGCTCCGTTTATCTGCTGCAGAGGGAAAACGAGAAACACAGCCTGGATGCAGGGCTCCCTGGGTGTCATCACACTGGAAAAAGATCTAAAAATAAGTAAAAATGTCTTAAATTGAGTGTATTTACCCTTGATTTGAGTAGGTAAATTAAATAGTTTGCCTATGGAATGAGTATCTTTACTCTTAAAATAAGATATTTAGATAAAATGCACTTGAAATAAGACAATGCAATTGCTTTTTATTATTTTAAATATAAATTGTATCGTTCCATTGGCAAAATGTCTATTTTAACTTCTCAATTCAAGAACGAATGCACTTATGTTAAGAAAAAGTTACTTATCTAGATTTTTATTTTTTCCAATGCACTAAATAGATTTAAGAGATTTGTGCAAATTAAAATAAAGCAATACTTTTTTTAAAGGGTCTGTTTAAAATATGACATAAGTTATAATGGAAACATATTTTCACATCAAATCAAAAAGACCGTGTTAATTTAAGAGTACCTAAAAAAACAAACCATAATATTAATGGGATTTAAAAATGAAATCCAAATGAGCCATGATGGTTGTTGGTCATTCACTTTAAAAATCTCGCTTTTTTTTAGCACCATCCTAATGTCTTGGTACCATCAATACTACTGTATAAGTTACAAGAACTTCTTTATTTGCAAATAGCTGCAAGCACTGTCACTTCTGCTGAATCCCCTCTATTATTTATTGTACATTGGTTACCTTTATTCTATCGTTACATCACATTTTCTGCACTTTTACCTTGTTCTTTTTGCAGCTTTCCTAACCATCTACACCCCTTTTGTGTGTGAGCGCTGTTAAGATTATTAGTCCCTTGTCCCACTGGTGGCTGGCCACAACCAATGACCTAAATTAAAATGTAAAATATTTTAAAATCAATCTATCATCTATCTATCTATCTTTTTTTTATGTGCAAGATAAATATTTAATATTTAATGGATAGCAAAGCGTCACCCCATTTTGCCCAATGACTCTCGTTAAAAGTTGTACATGCGCAGCAGCTTCTCTGCAATACAAAGGTACAGGAGAGACAGGTAGGACTGATTTAAAGCATTTTTTAGAAAAGGCAAAGAAGCCTGAACAATCTATGGTTCACATGGAAAATAATATATAATATACTGTACTTTTTCTCTATGTTTGTTCATTTGCATAGTTTCTCATAGATAAAAACATTCTCAGAAAATTGTTTTTATATATTAAAAAAAGTATAAACCTGACCAATAGCTTCTCCATTATTAAACAGGTACATTGTTTGTTTTTTTTAAGTTTTGTGACATAATATAAGACCATGCAAAACACAGATTTGCCTTTACAAAGCCTCAGATAGGCAAAATTTATGTACAAAAATAAACCTGCTCATGAAATTATGTTTTCTTTTTTAGTGTTCTCAGGTTTTTTGTTGGCATTCATATAAATATACTGGTGTCGATTGGTTTCTGGTATACGTCTATTTTGAATTTATAGCCCCCCCTGGACAAAACTCCACCAGCCGCCACTGCCTTGTCCCTTAAAGAAGTGTAATCAACCCTAGTCTGAAGGAACCTTACGGTAATTTCTAATGCACTGGGTTATCTTCATAGCACTCCCCTGGCTTAAGAATGATGATTAAACAAAATATTTTATTGTTTTCAGCAGTTCTACTGTGTAAAATAAGAAAGTAATGGATAACTAATAGTCTGGTATAAGAAATGGACAGAAAGTTTTAAGAAAGCTTTGAAAAACTGTCAATAATGTTGGTTTTAAGTGCAGTCAGGAATCACTGGTTGTATTAGGGCTGAAGCGATCGATTGTTTCAGTAACCCATTAATCTAACCATTAATTTTTCCTAATAATTTAAAAAGAGGTACCTTATATAAATTCAGTATATATTTTTTAAATGGATTTGTATATGGCAAACTCTTAAAAGCTAAACTTGATGCATAGAACTGTGAGATTGTATTAGACAGAAATCAAATGTTAGAGTCTGTAATATTTGCCCAATATTGAAATCATTTATTAATCCAGTTTACCATTTTAGTTTTGAGTTTATAAAAAGAATAAATGGTGAAGATATGCTGCAGTAGAAGCAGATTTGTTTTATGGGCCATCTTGTAAATCTTGTAAATGTAAATGTTGTCTGGGCTGGAGCTTTTATTGAACCTTTTTATAACACTCTTTTATACGATACTTTACAGCAGCTTTGTATTTTCATCTTGGTTCAAACATGTCTAACAGAAGCAAAAACTTTGTGGCTCCAGTAGAGCTGCTGGGGGGGGGCTGATTCTCCATTTTTAAGAGCTGCTTTAAATAATCAAAGAGACCCCTGATCACCATCCACTAAATAGCTTATCTAATAAAGTCGTGAGGAGCAGGAAGGTCATATTTACTAGAAAAAAACAATACAATATTTCACCTTTTGCTTTTAGGGCTCCCTTGGTGGGGTCTCCCCCCTCGATTGCCTGCCCATCTCCAGTCAGCCGCTCGTTGAGGGAGTCAATTTCCCGGCGCACTGCGAGGTTGACATGGCATTAATGATTGAATGAACCTCGCCGGAAGGTAAATCAGCAACTGGAGCCTGATGGAGGAAGGCAAACTCACATTCAAGGTTCTCCAGGTACAGATTCTCAAACTCCCGTTCGATCTGGCCAAACAGGTCAAGGAGGTTGTTCCGCACAGCAAGAGGCAGCTTGGAGTCCTGGAAACACATTTAAGACCTCAATAAATGTAAGGTAATAATTACTATATCTGTTTAAGACTAGTTTAAGGGCTGAAATTAAAGATTTCCATTAAGACTTTGCGTGACTTTTTAGGAACAACTACATAACCAAAGAGGAAGAAAATCCTAGAATACAACCTGTTTGCAGGAGCAAAACACTGAAACTAGGTGGAGACTCAACTTTCTGCAGGTCATGACCCTCAAAGCCTGAACAGCCAGAGCAAAAGTAGAAAGGTTTGGATCAAAGATCATTCATGTTTTTATTAGAGTGGCCTAGTCAAAGTCCAGATCTACTTTGAACTGACGAATTTCACACAGCTTGAAAACAGACTATAGATCCCTCCTCACTCAGTTTGAGTGAATTTGCAATAAAACATGCAGAACATTTGAAGAACTGTACAACTGCTGGTGGGTGGGATTTCCATATATATATAAAACACAACAAGAGTTAGGGAACCCGGTGGCGCACGGAGGGCGTGCAAAGGCTGACCGAGACTGTGAAGGGGTTGGGGCCATTGCCGTGGGTCACCGTGCACTTGGCGGGGTACGTCCAGTACCGCAAAGCGTCGTCCAGAACCGTCTCCAGAGATCCTCCTCCACGTCGCCAGAGGGGCCTTCGGTGGGCGAGCTGGGTCCCAGACTAGGGTCGGTCGGGCCCCACCCCCACAGCAAGATCCTTCATCATCTTTACCGTCGACAGTCCCACATTCCTCGTTGTCCAGCCACATTTGTTGGAACATGCGCATTTTCCCATTCTCTAGCTTTTTCTCCGCCCCAAGCTTCTTTTCCAAGCATACAGCTTTATTATCAACTGAAAGCAGTTCCACGCTAATATATTGCGATTTAATATGTCTGACTAAATGTTTTTATAAATGTCTTCTTTTTCTTTTTTATTAAGCATTTTAAATGCCACGATAAACAGATTTAATGAATTTTAATGCCCATTAAGGCCTTAATTCAAAAAAATAATAATTTAATGACTTAGATTTTTTTTTAATGACCCCCGGAAACCCTGATTTCTGTTCAGTTTTCACTCAGCGGGCCCCAAAAAAAAAAAAAGCAAATGTTTTCCTTCCCTTCCTTGTCGATCGCATAAAATCCCAACATATTTCAATTCAGTTTGACTTTCCGTTTTGTTAAAAACCTGACAACATGTAAAAAAAAGTCTCAAGGTTTACCAACACCTTAAAGCTAAAGTTAGTACATTATTTACTAGATTACAAAAATATAAACTTCCACTCTTTATAAATTGAACCAGTCTGGTTACTTTAATCAAAACCAAAACAGAACAACAGCAGAACCACATCCAAACGTCTTACCTCCATGTCGCCCTCCTACGGCTGCTTGGTTATAACCACAGAGATGTTAAAAACTCCCATAAAAAGACAGAAAGGGTGCATGAAATGTTTGCCTATCAAAAGCCCAAGTCAGTCCCAATGACGTTAGCGCCACATGTCTCGATGTTCTGACAGGGGGAGAAAGATCTATTAGGAAATAATAAGCCGCTCTGATGAAGTCAAAGCTGCTTACTTTTAGTCTGTTAAACCTGCAGCACACTTTGGTCAATAATGCCAGCAGAATAAAATGTGCTCTGTGTTGCATATGGGCTCATAAAGCTGTCTGTGCATGCTGCCTGAAGGTTAGCGTAGGTACACAAACACTGGCAGGGTAGAAAGGACCGTTGAAAAGACTAATCAGACCTGAACAAGCAGCCCATATTAAAACTTGATGAGGTAACACAGAGGGAAGCGAGCCGAGCTGAAACTTTAAAGGAGAAAGGGAAGGCTACAGGACTATTTCCGCTGATACTGATTTCACCTGTTTGAATAAACATGATTATCTGGGAGACGGCCCTATCAACCTGCAGCCAACTCCCAAAAGCAACTGACGACAGTGTCATTGATCAAACAGAAACTCCTTTTTATTGCCTGCATAAGGATGAGGCTCCTGTTTTTAACAAAAGGAACAAAAAAAAAAAACTGTCCATCCTCCATTTCTGGGAAAGATAAATCAACTGTAGACTTCATTCAAATACTCTGGTTTGGAGTCGGTTAATCACCAACTTTATGGCACAGCTGGACTTAAAATGTTACAGTCGATGCCTTTGAATCAGTAACCGAGGCGTCAACACCAACGACGGCAAACTTTCTGCAACTGCCCAAAGAGATCCTGCTTGCGAGTGGTATCAGTCAAAACCTTTTCCTTTTCCAAGGGGAAAAAACTATCTACGAGAAAAACTATACACAAGAAAAATTTTTAAAAAATGCTGTTAAACAGGCCGGTGCTGCAGGGTCAGGACTGACAACTGCTGCATGCCATTACAATCGCTTTTATCTTAACAAAAAAAAAAAGAAAAAGATCAGCCTCTCTACTTTCTGATAGATATATTTCAGATGAATAATGATTAAATGTTTAATGATTTTTTTTTTTCTTACCTGTCCCTCCAGCATTTCTCCTCTCAGGATGCCAGGTGGCCTCTCCTCTGTGCTGTTGGTGCGCCTGATGGACAAACTGTGTGCCTTACGCTTCTGCTTGGGGTGACGTGCGGCTGAAGCTGAGCCACTGCTGCTTCCGCCCTCCAAAGGCATCTCTCCTATCCCCTGTGTGAGGCCTTGACTCCGCCCCCACCCTTTTTTCCGGCTTAAAAACTACCTGAGAGGCAGGTACTGCAAATAAAAGCCACCCTCGCCGGTTGGCAGGTCGGGTTTGTCAGCTGTCAACACCTACCTGCAGATAACAAAAAGGAAGTAAAATGCTTGTTTACAGCTGATGAGGAATTACTCATTCGTCATTTTCCCACGCATCATAGGTGCGGGAAAAAAAAAAAAAAACAATAACAAAAGAACAACTTTTCTGCAAAAAACGATTAACCCTTTAAAGGGCACTCATTGAAATCCTTTGAAAATCCTCATTTCAAGCCAATAGTGTTAATGGAATCAAGG